TCAGGAGTTCGAAACCAGCCTGAGCAAGAGCGAGACCCCGTCTCTACCAAAAATAGAAAGAAATTAATCAGACAACTAAAAATATAGAAAAAATTAGCCGGGCATGGTGGCACATGCCTGTAGTCCCAGCTACTCGGGAGGCTGAGGCAGAAGAATCACTTGAGCCCAAGAGTTTGAGGTTGCTGTGAGCTAGGCTGATGCCACGGCACTCACTCTAGTCTGGGCAACACAGTGAGACTCTGTCTCAAAAAAAAAAAAAAAAAAAGTAGGTGAAGAGGATAGGGAGCAGCTTTATAAATTATTATTTTTCATAAATTTGTAGAATTATTTTCAAAAAATAGGTCCATACTCTGCATACTGTTTTTTAGTTGCTTTTTAAAAAAACATGGTCATATTTCCATATCAGTACAAGTAGATTCACATGCTCACCAAATATTTAATCAAATCTTTGTTAAACATCGTGTCTGTGGCAGGCTCTGTGCTAGGTGCTGTTAGTACACTGATGAGCAAAACAGACAAAGGCCCAAACTTCATGGAGCTTATGGTCTAAATATGTAGGTCTTCCTTAATTCTTTTGAATGGTTTTATAGTACTTCCTAGTATATTATTTATTGCTTCAGTAGCAGGAAGAAATGGCATGAAAAAGTAAAACAGAGAAAGAAGAAAAAATTATTTACTGCTATGTAACAAATTACCACAAAACTTATTTCACATAGTTTTTGAGGATCAGGATCTAGAAGTGGCTTAGCTGAGTGTGTGTACTTGCGGTTCTCATGAGGTTACAGTCCAGCTGTTGGTGGGGGCTGTAGTCATCTGGAGGTTAGTTAAGTGCATCTCACTTAGCAAACCCAAAAGAGCTGAATTCTAGCCTGTCAGTGGGAAAAGCCCAGCCTACGCATTGGCACTTCTAAAAGGCTCAGGAACTGGCAGCATCAGATCCCTTTGGAAGTGGTGGTGAAGATGACACTATAAATGGCAAGATTAATTGAAAGTCAGTTTGAGAAATGAATCGCTAATTCCTTTCCCTGCAGCCAGGACTGTGGCTCTGCCTAAGGATTTCTTCTCTGGAGATACTTTGTACTTGGGAACACCAGGCACATTGGAGGGCAGAGAGATACTGTACTAAAGGATGTAAGTGAACCTTTTTAAGGTTAATAAGTGGAGGAGATTATAAAGTAGATTTTTAAACACATATCCTTCTTTCCCACTCAGATCCCATAATATTAACAACCAGGATTTTGCATTTCTACCCAGGAGACTGGAATTATTTTCTGTTGAAGACCCCCCCTCCAAAAAAGACGAAAAATACTAATATAGATTGTTCTCTAACAAAATAGCCCTGTTGTATCACTCTTTAATTAATCCCACAACCCACAAGCCCCACGCAAGCACATAAAACTCCCAGTCAGTTTTTGATACTCTACTCATTAGATATCTGAGGGAAACCTCTTAATTTGAAAGACAGATCAAAACAAACAACCTAGAAAATGCTACTTGGAGAAAACAGACTACTTGAATATTCTCAGAGGGATAAGAGTAGATATGACATACATAAAACAAGAACCAGATATTGTAAAAAAGTAATGCTCAAAGAACTAAAAAACTCTAGGAAACTTAATTCAGTGGAAAATTTAACTAACAAAGGTAAAGAAGTTTGCCAGAAAGTAGAACAAAAAGATAAGTTTATAAAATAGAAAAAATAAAATGGAAAAATTAAAGAACAAGTTCAGTAAGTCTTACAAGAGAAATTCTAAAAAGAAAATAGGATCAAATCCTTAACAAAATAATGACAAAAAAACCTTTCACAAACATGAAGGACATGAATTTCCTTATTGAAAGGGCTCACGAAAACTCAGGATGACAAGTGAAAACAGACTTATTTTAAGCCAATTTGTTGTGGAAATTTTAGTATTTTGGTGCCAAAGAAAAAATTCTAAACATTTCCAGAAATCTTAAAAAAAGACAAAAGAAAGCAGGTTTCATATGAATCAGAATGATACCACAATCTGTGATTCTGTATTCAGCCACACTGTTGAGTGTGTTCATAGAATAAATATATTTTCACGTATCCCAGGTTTCCAAAAATTCACTTCTTAGTTCTTCTTTCTTAGGAAGCTCCTAGAACTTGTGTTTCTCCAAAACTAGGTAGTGAATGTGAAAGATATGGGATCTGGGAATTTTGGGGAGTATGCTAGGAGAGTCCTGAAAGGAATACCAGCACAATGGTGAAGGAAAACCAGGGTGGCCTTGGGCAAGCTATGCAGAAGACAGGTGTAATGGATAGACCAGCTAATGAGCTTGAACATTTTGAAGAGATTTTTGAAACTGGGAAAGTAGTTGGGGTTTAGTTAATGATAAGAACATAGAAAATAAGCAAAGGGGAGTGGAGACAATTACTCTTATTTTTTTTAAAAAAAGAAATCATGGTATGTTCCATGGCTCAGCTGTCAGGGGGGTATACATAGTCATAATAACTACAGGGGAAGGCACAGCATATGTGTGTATTTTTAATGGTTGTAAGGTGGCTAAGTGTTAGAGAGTATGTATATTTGTGCAGGAAAGAGACCTACCTATGTTAGTCTGTTTTGTGCTGCTATAAAGGAATACCTGAGGCTGCGTAATTTATAAAGAAAAGAGGTTTATTTGACTCACAGTTCTGCAAGCTGTACAAGAAGCATGGTACTAGCATCTGCTTCTGGTGAGGACTTCAGGGAGCTTCCAATCAAAGAGGAAGGTGAAGGGGGGAGTAGGTGTGTCACATGGTACCAAGAAAAGGAGCAAGAAAGGAAGGAATTGGTGCTAGACTCTTTTAAACAACCAGCTCTCCTGTAAACCAACAAAGCATGGGGAGAACACCAAGCCATTCATGAGGGGGTCTGCCCCCATGACCCAAACACCTCCTACTCGGCCCCACCACCAACACGGGATCAAACTTCCAACATGAGATTTGAAGGGGAGAAGTATCCAAACTACATCACCTACCTCTTTGTCTTTCATTGTGAGGAGTCAGTATATTATGTTTGAAATTAAATTAGTAATGTGTCAAGCAAGTTAATAGGGAAAAGGTAAACACCAAAGAATTGACTAAAGCAGTCCAAAATGTTGCCTTTGAAGAGTGGAAAATGAAGTGAAGGAGACAATAGAACATGTTGTTTTTCAAAATGAGCCTCATGGACTATATGACTGTTTAAACTATGTGAATGTATATATATAACTGTGAAAATGTATATTGAACTATTTGAAAGTATATGTAATTTTGATAAAAATTAAAGCGAAATTAAAAATAGTGAAGGGTATTTGTAAAGAAGGGTTGAAACCAAGAAATTTTGCAATAGAATAGCAATAAAAAATCAGGGACTGATTGTAGGAAATAATACCTAAAAATAACAAAAGTACCATTACCAGGAAGTTCTTGAAACTTGATCAAGTTTTTAGATATTTGTGTTTGGTAGTTAAGATTTCATACAGATAAATAGCCCATTGGTTTAGTTATAGGTATTCAATGCCTTTCAAATGAAATTCTATTTTTAAATCCTCCCTTTGGACTTTTTATAGAAACAGATGAAGTAAATCTTAACTTTCAGATGATTTGTTTTTAGTGAAATGTTTTAAAAGGAATATCTAAATTTTGCAGTGTAGAATAGCATTAATGTTCCAGTGTAGGATTTTATACCAAAGTGATTTTTAATAGGTAAGTTTAATAATTTTTGTGATCCTGAGTCTGTGGTGAACTTGTGAATCTTTATTGTTCATGGTTATTACTTAAGCATTTTAAATTTTTGTGTGTGTATGTGTCATTTTAAGTATGTATATATGGGCACAGCCTAGTTTAGAGAATCACTTTAATATGTATGGTCATTGTATATGAAAACAATAACTTAAGGGCTCTTTAATCAAAATTTAATTGGATTCCTATGTTTAAGAGAAAGGAAAATAATTTCCAATTTTTATACTTTAAAATTGAAAGCAAGAGTGCTAAACTTAGAATTACCAATTTTTTATTTTTAAAATTTTTCTTTTATACCATGTTAAGAAAAGAATGTAGAGGAAGAAACAGGGATCACAGAGAAGAAAATGAGAGTGGGAAAAATGAGAGATTGAGAATCTTCACGATAAAGCAAGAAAGATAATATCATGATGTCCATAAATTCAAGGGCCTACCATTACCAAGAGAGGGAGAGATACGCACAGAAAGAAGACACTGTACACACATAGAAGAAAGAATGGAGCAGTATCACCATGTACTTCGTGAAGGCGATTTCTGATAAAAATCTTTTAGATGTATATTTTTGAAATTACAGGAGAAATGGATATGTTACTTCATTAACATTTTGTGCCTTGGGCTTGATCGTAGGCTGAAAGTTCTGCTACTTTGGGTTCAATTTCTGTTTTCTGATAATTTGAAATTCTGTGAATTTGTGACTTGTTACAATTTTATATATGCTATTCCTTCTCTGATAACTAATTATTTAGGTTTCCAATACTATAATGAAAAAGGAAGTATTAAGAGGTTATAAAAGCACTAATGGTTGAGTAAACAAACACCTTTATAATGTAATGCATATATATAGAGAGAGAGCTTTATTTATTTGATTATTTAGAGACAGGGTCTTGCACTGTTGCCCAGGCTGGAGTGCAGTAACACAATCGTAGCTCACCATAACCTCGAATTCCTGGGCTCAGGTGATCCTCTCACCTCAGCCTCCCGAGTAGCTGGGACTACAGACGCACACCACCACACCTGGCTAATTTTTAAATTTTTTTGTAGAGGCAGGGGTCTCACTGTGTTGTCCAGTCTACTCTTGAACTCCTGGCCTCATGTGATCCTCCCGCCTCAGCCTCCCAAAGTGCTGGGATTAAAGGCTTGAGCCACTGTGCCCAACCTATATAGCCTTTTAAATAAAGCTTATCTGTAATTTTCCTGATTAGGAGAAGGAATCATTTTTTTAGATTGTCCTAATTTGTTGTTTTTTACTATTATTTTTGTATTTTTATTAAAGGTGGGAACAAAGAAAAGATCCTCATGGTAGAACCTATTATGTGGATCATAATACTCGAACTACCACATGGGAGAGACCACAACCTTTACCTCCAGGGTAATGTAGCATCTTTATGCATCTTGAGTTATATTTTATCACAAATGTGATTTTTAAATTTATTTTATGCAGCATAAATTGATTCTTTCATACTGCATGTATTAAGTTTCCTTATATTTCCTTGATTTGCTTGTGTGAATAATTAATGTTCAGTGAATGAGATTATATAGTCTGAAGGGCTTCCTGAACTGACTGTCAAACATTGGTATGAGTTACTGAGAGAAGCTACAAAAATTTGGTCCAAGTTCAGTCCTTGTTATTTTTTAAGGAAGGAAAGAATATTTAGGATAATTTGTATGTATGGTTCTCCATAGATAGTGATCTCAACTGTTATTTCATGAGATTTAATGACATGAGAAATATTGGAGTAGTTCGTAATTATAATCTACAAAGATGGCTACAAGTAAACTTGTATTACATTAAACCTAAAATTATAGAGGGTTTTAAATTAATAAAAATATTTTTATTATATACTAAACAAAGTTCATGCTATTAGGCTGTCATTCTAGGCCATTGAGAAACCGATCTTCCTTTATCTTTGAATTCTTTCATAACTTTTTATGTATATTATACTGATAGCTAGTTGAATTATACTATTTACATTCCCTGCAAACATTCTACCTGTACCTGGGATATATTCCTTATTGTCTTTGACATTCAGAATGTCCTTCCAGATTCAACTTAGAGTCCACCAATATAAAACACATTCAAAGTCCAGAATATTCAAGGCAGGAAATATGTTATTTTTGTGAGATATTTCTCTTTTGTGGAAGAAAGTGCTCAGGCCTTGGTCCTACAGTATTAAATGAGAACTTATCATTGGAAAGCATGGACCCAATGATTTCAGTACAGCAAACCATGGAGTTCATTTTAAGTACGACAGGATCACTAAGTTATAGTAATTCATTTAACCTGTTCATTGAGTGCCATAACAAGGACTTTATTTTACTGAAACTGTTGCCCAGAAATTAAGAAGAGAATATCTTTAATTTTATCTTTAACCCTATTATGCTTTTTGTTAGCCCATTACATTTTTAGTAATAAATTTATAGAAAGAATTTAGAATTGATTGCTGAAAGGATTCCAGGATCATTATATAAGTTAATGACAAAAATAGGTTTAATAGATCCTAGATGTGTGGAAGAGATAGGAGTTGAACTGAACCATGGAGGATGAGTCGAATTCTGGTTGGTTGAGAAATTGGGAAGGACATTCTGTTCTGACGGACCATTTTTTAAAAGGCATGACCAATTGAAACACATGACACACTTGGAATCAGCATGTAGTCGCTTGGCTCTCATGTGTGGCCCTTGAAGGATCTAAGGTGGAAGATGAAGTCGAAAGTGGATGGGTTCACTTTCATGCCTTGTCAGAGAGCCATGATAGTGACGGGATTCCATCTGCACTTCAGGAATGTAACCGGCAGCAGTGTAACAGCAGGAAGGTGAGATAAAAAGAGTGCAGTTAAAATCCTGAATGTGGACAGTGACCGTAGGGCAGATCGCCTGGTATACAGCAAGCACTCTCAGTAAATGCTATCAAAAAAAGAGGAAAAAAGGGTAGTCACACTGATGCTGAAATTGTTGCTCAGCCAATGGCCTCTTTTGTAGACAGTCTTTAGAAACTATATTAGTGGTAGAATAGGAAGGTAATTTAGCTAAAATAAATGGTTTATAGTTTCATAGATTTTCTGAAGAATGTAAATACTTATATTCTTCTTAAGCTTGTTTTATCATGTCTTGGACTTGATTTTTAAAATATTTGAGTGAAGTACTTACTGCTTTTCAGTTTCTTAATATTGAGAGCTTATTGTTTATTTTTATTATTATTTATTCTATTTGTGGTAGTTGGGAAAGAAGAGTTGATGATCGTGGAAGAGTGTATTATGTGGATCATAACACCAGAACAACAACGTGGCAGCGGCCTACCATGGAATCTGTCCGGAACTTTGAACAGTGGCAATCTCAGCGGAACCAATTGCAGGGAGCTATGCAACAGTTCAACCAACGATACCTCTATTCGGTAATTAGCAAATTTTAAGATGTTAATATAACTTTTTCCCTCAGGCATTTGCCCTTTTCTGCTTTGATTTTTAAAAATGTTATGGACTGCATTACAAGGTAATTTTTAGTTAATCTTTAATAAACAATTAGTATTTCTTTTATCTATAAGCACTTTAAGTTTTTTAAAAAAATAGTTTACTAGCATAACCATAGGCTCAGTTTTATATCCTTATTAAAGGGTAGTTTCATAAATGCAGTGTCTTAATAAAATAATGTCTTTACCAATTCCTAGTCTTCCACCTTTAATTATAATAATTTTATTTGCTTTAGACAAAACCATTTACCTCATGATTTTACTTAGGGCCAGTCTTGCAGTGTTCCGGCTATTCTAATTTCCTTCCCAGAAACAACACTCTCATCTGTTTTAGCTCACCAAAGATATTCCTGGGACTGGAGTTAATTTTGTTCACAAAATCTAATGCCATCTGGAAATTTGATCAATTGGTGATTTATTTATTGCCATAAGCAAACAATCCACAAGGGGAGTGGAAAAAACAAGCAAATGTAAAAAACAAAAGGAACACCTCTGATAAATGGTTTGATCACAGGAGGTAGAAATAAGATAAACTTTAAGTACTGGGCAGCTCTATGTAATATTTTGAGGCAACTTGAGGAAACCCAAAATGTAGAAGCTAGCATATAGAAAGGAAGTAGGAAAGAGACATGGAAAGAAAAATAACTTTTTTCAAAATCCTGACTCAGGCTGGCTCTTTCAACTCCGTTTTTTTTTTCAGAGGTTGAATAATAAGTTCTCATTCATAAGTTGATCCACTCTCATGGTTATCTGTAGCCAGCAGAGAGGGAGTGGGGCAACCCAGTTTCCATAGCATCTCCAATTGCTGTTTCTTTGGTCACTTGTACAGAAATCTTTGGTAAGGTTCCATAATTCAGCTACATACAGTAAACAAGAAATTATGTGGTGTGGGTTTGTTTTTGATTGGACTTACCTGTACAGATGTAAACTTTGGGGAAACTGGGCAGAATTAGGTAATAGGTATGTATGTATCAGCAGTATGTTCTCCTGCAAATAACAGAATCTCTTTAAAGGGACTGAGGTTTAGTCATCTCAGTACAAACCAAGTCTAAGGTAAGAGTCTAGAACAAATACTGCCTTGGCTGAATAGTGCCATCATGTACCCAGGTTCTTTCTGCCTTTTTGCTCCACCATCCTTGTGCTTCTTGCCTGTTACTTCGATCATATGGAGCTGCTGCCACTGGGGCCTCACTTCCATGAAGAAAGGGAAAGGAGATTAGATGGCTTTCTTCTAGCAAGCCCTTGCCTTTTGACTTAGAAAAGGGTATCTTTACTGTGGTTATGTGCCTGTTCCTCATTGGCCAGAATTGGTCACTCTATCAACTCAGCTGCAAGGAGGGCAGGGAATGGAATGTTCTTTATGGACATGTTGCTGCCTCAAACAAAACAGTGGTTTGGTTATCAATAAGGGGTGGAAATGGATATAATGAATAGTGTCTGTTATAAGATTATATTCATCAAGATACATATACTTTATCGTTAAATTATTTTTCAGGTAATGATTTTTGTGTTTGTCATTATATTAGAATTCATGATAGAATGTTTCTATTCAGAATATATTTCTAGGTTGTGATAATAACTTGTAAACATACACAGAAATGTGTATGTTTTTATGTATATATGAATTATTTACTAAATGATACTAATTAAGATAAAAGTTTATTTCTATAAAGATGATGTGAGAGTTTGATATTGGTTTTATTAATAGGCATTTGTTTTATTTTTTTATTTATTTTTAATAGGCATTTGTTTTAAAGAACACTATGATAATTGTTCTGCTTTTAAACAAATAGTATTTCCTCATTTAAACACCATAATTTCCTATATTTTCTTCTCCCATCTCATCTCGCCCTTGTAGATTATTATGGAACGACTAGGCATTAAAATATTGATGTCAATATATTATTTCTAAATCATTTTAAGAAAACTAATAATTTTATCAGTTGATTGGCTCCTTTTACCTCATGACATTTTAAGAACTTTGTGTCTTGAAATTGCTATCTTCACATTCCCTTATATTTAAAAAAAATTATCATAAAATGTGATTCTGCCAAGTGCTTAGTTTATTTCTGCTTTTATATTAAAATGCTATGATTTTCTTTCTTCTCCCAACCCCTTCTCCAATCAGGCTTCAGTGTTAGCTGCAGAAAATGACCCGTATGGACCTTTGCCACCAGGCTGGGGTAAGCTGATGGGTTGTTGGTAAAAATATCTGTGAGGTGTATATATCTCAAATAATTACTAAATGCTATGCTCACCTTATTTTTTAGAAAAAAGAGTCGATTCAACAGACAGGGTTTATTTTGTGAATCATAACACAAAAACAACCCAGTGGGAAGATCCAAGAACTCAAGGGTATGTATATACTACAGACTTAGTTGAGCCATCCTGCATATAACTGTAGATAATATCAATGAACCTTGAGTCAGATGTTTTTAGTACTTAGAAAATGTTCACCTTATCATTGTAACTTTATCTTTCAGCTTACAGAATGAAGAACCCCTGCCAGAAGGCTGGGAAATTAGGTACACTCGTGAAGGTGTTAGGTACTTTGTTGATCATAATACAAGAACAACAACATTCAAAGATCCTCGCAATGGAAAGTCATCTGTGTAAGTGAAAAACTAAAGTTCTCCTTCAGTGCTACTTAGTGAGGACACGAGGTTTATTCTCTTAATTTAGCCTTCAACTTTAGCAAGAGATTTCACTTTTTGGTTCAGGAAAACCTAAACAAGTAATACCTAGTATACCTGTCTTTGCTCTATCTTATTCTGGAACAGATTTGTGGCATGTAATTCCTTAAAAATAGCAATGGCAAGTATTTATGTAGTGATTTCTATGAGCCAAGGATTGTTCTAAGCACTTTACAGGTATTAGCTCGTTTTATCTTCTAACAACCCCTTGAGGGCAGATGGTATTATTTCCCCCTTCACCAAGTAAGGAGAGGTGTAGGGGGCATACCTGACTGTTTCAGACCAAGGCAGTCAGTCTCCAGAGTCTATGCTCAGATACCTTAATTAAGCTATTTCGACTATCACATCTTCCCACCTACCACCATCTGTCCTCCTTCCTGGTCCTGTCAATGAACTGTTATTGTTCCTATCAAAGTCTAGTCCCTCTGCAGGTACATTAGATTCCTCCACCTGACACATGCACACACTTAATTGCTCCAGCAGGTATCATCTTTCTATCCAACATCATCAGTTTTGCTTTCTCTACTAAATTATTCTCATCAGCTATTATTTCTCCTAGATTAAAAAAAAAAAAAAACTTAACTCTTCCCCTTACCGACTCATTCAATGACAGCTTGTTTTTATTGCTGCCTTTTTCAGGAAAACTACCTGAAAGACTTGTCTCTATATTGCTGCTTCTAATTTCTACCTTAAGCTGACTCCAAGGAAGTTCCCCTGACACTGAGCTTGCCATGGGCACCAGTGATCTTCACATTGTTGATCCAGGGGTTGGTTTGCTATCCTGTCTTACTTGACTTACGTGGGACATTTGACACAATACGTTTTTCTCTCTCCCGGCAAAAGTAGTGGAGGGCACCATACTTTCTTTATTTCCCTCTGCCTTTCTGGTCTTATTTCTTTATTTTGCCAAGTCCTCTTTTTCCCCGCAGCCTCGCAACAGTGAAGTACCCAGAGCTCTGTACTTATTTCTTTTCTAACTACACTCATTCTCTTGGTGAATTTTATTCAGTGTCATGCTTATAAAAACATCTGTCTGCTAATGACTCACACTTAGCTCAGACTTCACTTGAAATTTTGATTTGTGTAGTCAGCTGCTTACCTTGTATCTCCACTTGTAACTCCTTCCTGATAGCCCTTATAAAACCTGTTCTACCTGTGATATTCCCTATCTTAGTTAATGGTAACTCCACTCTTACATGTGCCTGGGCCAAAAATTTTAGACTTGTCCTTGACTTCTCTTTCTCTCCTCCCTTACACACAGTCCCTCACGAATTCTAGATACTTCAACTTCAGAACATATCTAGAGTTCAGCTATTTCTCGCCACCATCACTGCCACCACTTGGGTCCAAGCTACCATTGTCTCTCACCTAGAGTAGTGCCAGAGTCTAACTGTCTCTCTGCTTTCTACCCACACCTCATAAAATGTTATGTTAGTCTCCATACAGGAGAGAGACTGATTTTTTTAAAAATTTAAGTAAAAAGTCATTCCTGTACAAAACCCTTCAGTGGTTTCCATCTCAATCAGAGTAAAAAGCAGTCCTTACAGTGGCCTAGTAAGGCCATATAGGATCTGAGTCCTGTTATCTCTTCAACCTCATCTTGGTTTTCTCTCCTCATTTACTCTACTCCAGCTTCATTGGCCACCTAGCTGTATATTGAGCATCTTAGGCTTCCATCTCTGGATCTTAGCCCCTATTCCCTCTGCTTGGTATGCTCTTTTCCCAAATATCTATGTGGCTTATGCCCTTTCCTTCATGTTTTTGCTCAAATGTCACTTTGTCTATGAACCGTACTCTTTTTACCCTTTTCAGAATCACAAAATTCTCCTAACTACTCCTTATCCTTTGTCCTTTTAACAATGCCCCCACCCTGCACCAATATTTTTTCCTTAGGGCAGGAGTGAAAAAACATTTATCCCCTTCTAATGAGCTACATACATAGTTTACTTATTCATATATTTCTTGTCTGTATCCTTCACTAGTACATAAGTTCCACAAAAATAGACATTTTTGTCTGTTTTATTAACAAGTAATGAATGTTCTCACTGTCTAGAGGCATGTCAAGTACCTGCTATGCATTTAGTAAATATTTATTGAATAAATAAATTCACTTGAATCTGAAAACACATGAGAACATTTCCCATCCATTCCAAAATGTTCCCTAAGATTGTGAAAGTTCTTTGTGCCTGTTAGGCCCTCAGTCAATAGGCAAGAGACCCAGGCCCTCTCAATGTGAGTCAAACCGTATTGTAAAACCTACATTCCTAGATGTCATTCACTGTGCCTCTTCTCTCACTGACCACCTAAACCATGTGACCTGGATGTCACATGTTATTCCTAAGAATTTATTTTGCTTTGCTTATCTTCCAGCAATACTTGTTTTGGTTTTGGGTTAGGTTTAAGATGTGGTAGAATTTCCTTCTATATCTCTTCTACCTGGAGCCTCTGTCTTCCTTAGATTTAAGGATTTTCAAGAATTTTCTTGAAAATAGTCAGTAGGTAGTAGACTTTAATATTTCATTTAACTCACTAATTTACAAAAGATCCACCTGTATATACAGTGTCCCTCTTTGTGTATGTGTGTGTCCTGTTGCCCTGATAGCCCTCGTTGCTTGAACTGCTATTGGCCCACCAAAAATACCCTTCTCTCTCAGCACAAAATTTTCCTGTGGTCATTTGTAAGATTCTAGTACACTCCACTTTCATAATGAATACAAATATTCAACTTTATTATGAATTAATATATGTTTTTTTTTGTTTTTCTTTAGAACTAAAGGTGGTCCGCAAATTGCTTATGAGCGCAGCTTTAGGTGGAAACTTGCTCACTTCCGTTATTTGTGCCAGGTACTGCAGTGGTAAATAAATCTTATGTTCATAATCATTTAGTCTTACTTTTATACAATACATATTCTATAGCTTACATGATATTATGATATTATTTTTGTTTTTAGTCTAATGCACTACCCAGTCATGTAAAGATCAATGTGTCCCGGCAGACATTGTTTGAAGATTCCTTCCAACAGGTAAGGAAGATTTTATCAGAATAAAACAATACTGTTTGTCTCACTGTATTTTATACATCTAAAGGGAGAGGGTTTTAGAGAGTTTAAACCATTGAGAACACAGCTATAATAATGGCTACCACTTACTGAGTACCTATTTTAATAATAGTTATACTAAACCTTACCATGTATTGAGTGATTGCCATTTACTTGACACTGGCATCTTACATTTCTCATATTATTTCATTCATCCTCACAGCATCCTTTCGAGATAGTTCCTATCTTACCTCCATTTTAAAGGTAAAGGCAGTGAGATGAGAAACAATCCTTCTATCATGAATTTAGTTGTATACTTAACTAAAATAAAGCTTAAACAGCTTTTGGAACAAGTTGATCAATTTTGACACTTAATACTTTGCTAAGAATTTACCACCTCAAACAAAAAAGTTTTGATAATGCTACCAAATTAAAATCAAATTGGTAAATACTGTATTCCACTTGAGTATTCCTTTAATAATTCTAATGTTTATTGTCACCTTTAAGTTTCTGTTCAAATGTCATGCTCTCAGAGAGACCATGTCCGAGCATGCTATTTAAGATGGCAGTCCTGCTCACCTCCCTCACAGCCACACTCTAGCCAATTATGGCACTTTATTCTTTTTCATAACACTTACTGCCACTTGACATATTTTACTTTGTTTGTCTCTCTTGCTAGAATGTGAGCTTCATGAGGGCACGGACTATTTTGTTTATTGTTTAGCTCAGAACCTAGAATAGTGCCTTGCACACAGCAGATATTCAGTTAATTATTTGATCAATGAGATGAGATGAGAATGTAATGTGTCTACCTTTCCTGAATCATCTGCAGAATATTTAAATATAAAAATTCCGAATACTATATTGTTAGTTCTTTTTTTCAGATGAAAAATTGGAGAATTTTCATGAGATTTTTTGTTCCTCTTCAAAGTATTACAGTGAACCAAACTTCTGTGTGTACTCAGATACACAGGTAACGCTCTGGACTCTGAGAGACTTTCAAACCCTAGCTTAGTTTTATTAGTTGTTAGACTTTGTACAGGTATGAAACTATTATCAGAAGGTTTTTTTAGTTTGAGTTAATAAATTCTTAGCAAAGTAAGTATGAGTAGATCAACTTGTTTCAAACTCTGTTTAGGTTGATTTTAGTAAGTGTACATCTAAATTCATGGTAGACTTTATTTTGCTTTCTGCCCTGTGTTGGGGAGAAACATGGTCTATTTGATGCGCAAGACTGAGTCCATGACTGTCTCTGATAAGAGGCCTGCCGGTAAGCTGTTCCCTAAACCAGATCTGTCAATTGTGCGTGTGGTTCTGACATATGGATGGTGGAAGTAATTCGTTTCTGTCCCAGAGTAAAGACTACTTACTAGTGAACATGATGTAAACTATTAAGGATTATGAAAATTTGATGCAGGGGTTGTTTTAAACTATACAGTCCTATATATAAATTCGTCATCAAATAAATAATTCTTTATTACAGCCGAGTTCCTTTCCTAGAAATGGAATGTGTGGCATAAACAGGATGCATAACAAGGTCTTTTTCCTCTAAGTGTGTCTGTCTGGTCAGAAAAATTTACAAGTCACCTGTTAAATGATTTTGGTACAGTTTGCAGTTAGCAGGGAGAGAATATTTTCTAACCTTAAAAACTTTCTATGTCAAACTCTTACTTTCTTGCCACTAACCTAAAGTAGAATCGCCATTTAATACTAGAGGAAGGGAAAAAGAATGAACAATGACCCTTGAACAATGTGGGGTTAGGGTTGCTGACCCCTTCACAGTTGGAACTCTACCCATAAATTTGACTCCCCCAAATCTTAACTACTGATAGCCTATTGTTGACTGGAAGCCTTACAGATAACATAAGCAGTAAATTAATACATATTTTGTATGCGATACATATTATGTACTCTTACAATAAAGTAAGCTAAAGAAAAGAAAATGTTATTAAGAAAATCATAAGGAAGAAAAAATATATTTACCATTCATTAAGTGGAAGTAGATCATCATAAAGGTCTTTATCTTCCTTGTCTTCACATTGAGTAGGCTGAGGAACAGGAGGGGTTGGTCTTGCTGTCTCAGGGATGGCAGAAGCAGAAGAAAATCTACATATAAATGGACCCGTGCTATTTAAACCCATGTTGTTCAAGGGTCAACTGTATATGAAAGTGAGTCAGAAAAAGCTTAATAGATTGATATATATGTCTTTATGTAGTTTGTTGAATAACTGGTAATTTATGTAATTGGTTGAATAAACCAATTGATCTTTTGAGTTAAAGGCATTGTTGTATGACATAAAGAAATCTGTAATTTTTAAAATACAGATTAAAACAATGACTGCGACACTGGAAGAAAAATTTTTTTCCTTGGGGCCACGGTGTTTTATTACGAAAACAAAATAAAAACTTCTAAAACAAAATGATCCTTTCTAATTAAATGAAAAATTTGTTATTTTTTATTGTTTTCTGTTCGTGAGTTATATGCAACTTGAAAAATGGTTTGCAGCTCCCAAGGTGAAGAGACATGTGAGTTACATATACTTCACGAGGCCCAGGTCTCAAAACTAGTGTGAGTTAAATACAACTCACATGGTAGTTAATGTGTAAAATTGAATTGTTTGGGAAGAAAGTTATATGGCATGTGTTTAAATATTCATGTTTTTGTTTTTAATTAGATTATGGCATTAAAACCTTATGACTTGAGGAGGCGATTATATGTAATATTTAGAGGAGAAGAAGGACTTGATTATGGTGGCCTAGCAAGGTAAAATAGAAAACACATATGTGCTTTGAAATAAATATATCTCATTATATGCAGGGAAAGTATTCTTGAAAAGATATGTGAATATATTGGGTCATATTTTTATAACAAATTTATATAGATGTGCCATATAGTACATATTTTCTGTTTCTTTTTTTTTAAGAGAATTAATTATACAGTATACAAAATATAGGAAACTGATTTTGTTATTTTATATAGTATGGCCATCTTTTTCTATCAGTATACATAGGTAGAGAGCTAATACTCTGATTTTTAAAATGGCTGCACCATATTCCATTGTATGAATATATCATAATGAATGGATCAGCACGCACAGGTTGTTTCTTATTTTTTGCTATT